ACTTTCGACATAATAACACCAACTTACTGGTCTGAAATCATTAATTTTGTTTATACGAAGACAACCTGACCAGTTGATGACAGTGCTGCTAGCAAGGTTATTAACATGGATTTATGAAGAAATATATTTACGCTGGTAGTATATAGAAATTTTTGGGGATCTTATTCTAGTGTCTTCGTAAGATCGCTGCCCAGTAATACATTGTGGCGATTAAAATCTGTTACGAATGACAGTCATGTTAATAAATGTGACGGAGATGGTCAATGTATAGGCGAACCTGTAGCAGAAACATGATACAATTTATATGACAACATGAATGTAGAATATCATGAGATACCACATGAAGTCATATGCAAAACTTCCGACATTTTGTGCTTATTCATAACCATTATGGCGTTTCTGTACAACGGTTCGGAAGCGACATCGCACCTGCGCGTAAATTGACTAATAATCTGACACCTTATATCATTCATGCCGTCGCGGCGGGGAGGTTCGTAGGGTTTGTAGGTAGAGAATTCCTGCTGATGGACTGATCATTAGAGATATATTGGCTTTTGACAGCCGAGTACAAGCACAGGCCGTCAAGTGACAAGTGACGCTCCAAAAATAAGAAATAGGAATTCAGATGTGAAAAATAGAGCGAAACTGGAATTTGGGTGAGAAATATATGTTAAATAGGAATATTTTTTGCTTTAGATGTGCCTCCAACACCCTACACCCATCCGGATCACCACAGAATGGTTTATTAATATACATATTTGGAGTTACATCACATATGGCGAACAATATTTGAGGTTTTAATGAGAAGTGCATGTTAAAATTGATAAGCAGTTTATACATACAAAGCAGCCACATACATACACCCAGACTACTCCCAAATAGTAGTGATAATGATTAAAAATAAAGACTGAGACATGCACATGATATAAGATTATTGAAAAATTGTGCAATAAATTTTTACATAAAAGCACAAATATGTAAATAGAACATGTGTTCATTAGATGACGCTGATGAAGATAAAATCTGTGATAGTAAAAGAGTATATTACGTTAATTTAAAGTAAGGGGTGGAGGTCTGGGGGTACTCCCAGGAATTTGTGAAAATTGGGACACCGTAAAATGTAAATTCCTGCATCTAGAGAGGATACATACAATTCGAGATTCAAAAAATAAAAAAGCTTCAAAATAGGAAAAAGTAGAATTTGTCCAGGAAGATAGGAGAAGAATAGGAATTGCCAGAAAATAGGAAAAATAGGAATTTGTCCAGAATAGGAAGAAAATATAGGAATTGCCCAGAAAATAGGAAAAAATAGGAACTTGACGCCCTGCAAGCAGGTTTCCCCGCCCCTGTGCACACTTCCTCATCCGCCAAAGTGCCATGACAAAGCGCAAATGAGGTGACCGTCCAATCAGAGCAAAGCTGCACGAGTGGCATGACGATGGGAGCAGCAGAGTTTTCGCGCAAGAAATGAGAAAATGCGATTAAGAAATGCATAGAAATCGCCATGCTGTCACCACTTACTATCTATAATCACTGCTAGAGGGTAACGATGTATTGAGTAACATACGTTACTATAGCTTCTGCTAGAGAGTGTGGGAGGATTGAGTAACATACGTTACTATAGCTACTGCTAAAGAGTGTGGGAGGATTGAGTAACATACGTTACTATAGCTACTGCTAAAGAGTGTGGGAGGATTGAGTAACAGTCGTTACTATAGCTACTGCTAGACAGTGTGGCGAGGATTGAGTAACATACGTTATTATAGCTACTGCTAGAGAGTGTGGGAGGATTGAGTAACATACGTTACTGCCTCCGAGTTCACTTTTAGTTTTATGTTTGGTTGGAAATTGTGTGTATTACTGAGATATCTGTAAGTATATATTTATTATTAAAAAAAATCATGTGTGACTGTTCATTTTGTAACATGCTACGTAATATATAACGAGATAAAATGTAATATATTTTCATCGCGTGTTCGCTTCCTTGCTGCGCTCACGTCATGCTTTTGCAACGATGCACGAACCAACAGTGTTAGCACAATTATCAATACAGCGTTAGACCAATTACCAACTGGAAAATACGCAGAATATATACACAGGGAACAAAGCAGAGAAAACTAATTGCCAACTATTTGCGTAGCAGACAAAACACACGCATCCCTAACTCGTTC